TCTCCAATTTGTCCACATCCTTTCTGTAGTGGGGGCCCAAAACTGAACACAGTACTCCAGATGTGGCCTCACCAGTGCTGAATAGAAGGAAATAATCACTTCTCTTGATCAGTTTGCAACACTCTGACTGATGCAGCCCAGTATGCCATTAGCCTTCTTGGCAACAAGGGCACCACACTGTTGCCTCATATTCAGCTTATTGTCCACTGTAATTCCCAGGTCCTTTTCTGCAGTGCTACCACCCAGCCAGTCAGCCCCAGTCCTATACCCATGTATGACATTGTTCCATCCTAAATGCGGGAATTTGCATTCGTCCTTGTTGAAAGTCATGACATTTCTGGTGGCCCAGTCCTCCAATTTGTCTAGGTCACTCTGAATCCTAGTCCTACCCTCCAGGCTATCTACTACTCACCCAACTTGGTGTCATCTGAAAACTCGCTAAGGATGCACTCTATGCTATCTTCCAGGTAGTTGATGAAGATATTGAACAAAACTAGCCACAGGACCAATGTCTGGGGCACTCCACTTGATACCAGCTGGCAAGTAGACATTGAGCCATTGTTTACTACTCTCTGAGCCTGATGCTCCAGCCAGTTTTCTATCCACCTTACAGTCCACTCATCCAGCCTGTACTTCTTTAGCTTGCCTGCAAGAATATTATAGAAGACCTAATCATAAGCCTTGCTAAAATCAAGGTACACCACATCCACTGGGCTCTCCGCATCCACAAAGCCAGTCACCTCATCATAGAAGGCAATCAGGTTGGTCAGGCATGACTTGGCCTTGGTGAATCTATGCTGACTGTTCCTAATCACCTTCTTCTCCTCCAAGTGCTTAGAAATGGATTCCTTGAGGAACTGCTCCATGATTTTTCCAGGGACTGAGGTGAGGCTGACTGGTCTGTAGTTCCCTGGATCCTCCTCTTTTCCTTTCTTAAATATGAGCACTATGTTTGCCCTTTTCCAATTATCTGGGACCTCTCCTGATCACCGTGAATTTTCAAAGTTGATGGCCAGTGGCCCTGGAGTCACATCAGCCAACTCCCTCAGCACCCTCAGTTGTATCCCACCTGGCCCCATGGACTTGTATGTGTCCAGATTTTCTAAATAGTCCCTAACCTGCTCTTTCACCATTGAGGGCTGCTCACCTCCTCCCCAAACTGTGCTGCAGTAGTCTGAGAGAGGACCTTGCCTGTGAAGACAAAGGAAAAAAAAGGCATTGAGCACTTCAGGGGTGTAGGTTGTAGCCATGTTGGTCTAAGGACATAGGCAGACAAGGTTCTTTGGGTGAATCTGATATCTTTTATTAGAACAACTTAAATATTTGGAAAAATATTTTTTAGCAAGCTTTCAGGTTTAAAATCCCTTCATCAGGCTGAGGAAGCCTCTGCAGTTGGTGTGTGCTCGTCCTGGATGGAATGAATAGTAAAGAAGCCAGAGGCTGGGCTGGTATGCATGCAAGACAGGCAGTCAGTGAAGATGTAAATTGAGGAGTCAGTGGGTGAGAGACAGGCTGGGGGGCAGGAGGGTGGGGAATGAATGTAGCAGTTAAATAGTGGAGAGGTACCTGGGGGGTCAGATGTCAGGCAAGTTATAATGTGTCATAAATCCAATGTCTATATTTAGTCCATATTTTTTTGTATCCAGGTTGATGAATTGAAGTTCATAGGCTTGTTTCTGAGAAGTGTTTTGAATGTTCCCTTTGAGGATTAGAACTGAGAGATCGGAGAGAGAGGGATTTTCTTGTGAGAAATGTGTCCCCATCAGTAATTGGGTATTTTTGTCTTTGATAGATTTCCGGTGTGTATTCATTCTGGTACGCAGTTCTGTTTGGTCTCTCCTACATATTTTCCATCAGAGCATTTGGTGCATTGGATGAAATATATTACATTTCTGGAGAGTTTTTCCACCTACTTAAGTTGGTCTAATAAAAGATATCAGATTCACCCAAAAAACCCTGTCTGCCTTGAGCACTTCAGCCTTTTCTACATCCCCTATCACAAGGTTGCCTCCCCCATTCAGTAAGGGACTCTCACTTTTCCTGATCCTCCGCTTGCTACCAACATACTTGTAGAAACCCTTCTTATTATCCTTCACATCCCTTGCTAGTTGCAACTGCAATTGTGCTTTGGCCTTCCTGACATCATCCCTGCATGCCCAAGCAATGTTCTTATACTCCACCCTATTTATTTGTCCAAGTTTCCACTACTTATTGTGACTTTCTTTTTGTGACTTCAGTTACTGAAGAGTTCCCTGCTAATCCCTACCATACTTGCTAGTCTTCCTGCAAGTATGGTTTGTTCTTGCACTCTCAGTAAGACTTCTTTAAACTACAGCCAACTCTCCTGAACTGCTCACCTCCTCAGACTGGCTTCCCAGGAAATCCTGCCCATAAGTTCCCTGAGTGAGTCAAAGTCTGCTTTTCTGAAGTCCAGGGTCCTTACTCTGTTGCTCTCCATCCTTCCTTTCCTCAGGTTCAATCATCTCTGGTCACTGCTGTCCAAGTTGCCACTCACTGCTTGACTACTTCATTCCCCACCAATTCTTCCCTGTTTGTGAGCAGCAGGTCAAAAAGAGCATGGCCCCTAGTTGGCCACTCAATCACTTGCACCTGGACATTGTCCCCAACACCCTCCAAAAACTTCCTGGATTGCCTGCACATTATTCTGTTGTCCTCCCAGCAGATGTCAGGGTGATTTAACTCCCCTGTGAGAATCAGGGCTTGTGACTGGGAAAATTCCACTAGCTGTTTGAAGAAAGTCTCATCCACCTAATCCTCCTGGTCTGGTGGTCTATAGCAGACACCTAGCACATTGCCCTTGTTGCTCTCCCCTCTGACCTTAACCCAGAGACTTTCAAGAGGCCTATCTCCAGTTTCATACAGAAGCTCTGAGCAATCATATGGCTCTTTTACATAAAGCTCAACCCCTCCTCCCCTGCTTGTCCTTTGTGGACAGTTTGTACCCATTCATGACCGTGCTCCAGTCATGTGAGCTCCCACTAAGTCTCTGTTATTCCAATCACATCATATTGCCACAACTGTGCGAGGACTTCCAGTTCTTCCTGCTTGTTTCCCAGGCTCTGTGCATTTGTGTACAGACACCTGAGGTAACTAGTCAGTTGTCCTGATTTCTCAGGAAGTATGAGAGCACCTCCCTTGTTGCCCCTTCCTGCTTGCTCTTCCTCCAGGTCTCCTGCCTCCATGCTTACCTCAGGGTGTTGGTGTCTGTCCCACAGCAAGCCTAATTTAAAGCCCTCTTCACTAGGTTAGCAATGCTCTTCCCTCTCTTCAACAGACATAAACTGTTAAATCCAACTCTCAAGAGGGGAGGAGGAGGGATGGGGTAGCTGAGCATTTCAAGGATTGAATTCTGGAGACATAAATAATATTATTTTCCAATAGGTGAAGAGAGATTTTAAATGGTTAAAAACCATGCAATGCTTTGGTTCATATTTAAAAATTCTCTCTTTTATGTGGGTAAAAGTTGAGTAATAAAAATATTTTGTTCTCTTAGTCTTTTACTTCTGTCTCTAGGAGAAATATGATCAATAAGAATGGAAGAATTTTTTTGGTGGTCAGATTCTTAATCTGTCAATTTATCAAGTGTAATTAAATCCTCAGTGTTCAGGGCTTTGATTATTAAGCCTATTTCTTGACATTTCAATTGTTTTAAAATATGGTGCGCTTCTAACTGTGATTTTAAATCAAAGATTATTTTTTAAGTGCTGTTAATTTAAAATAATATTTTGCATAGCAACTGTTGAAGACATGAGAAGCCTGGTGAGTCTGATAGACTAGGGAATCCTTATTGCCTTCATTTTCCCACTGTAGGGCTGTATTATGTATCCAGGACTCCAGGACAGAACCATGTAGTGGATTTAAACTGTCACTCAAATTGGAATCAAGAGTAAGAGCAAGTTATTGGGTGGATAAATCTATATTAAAATTTACTTTATCCACAGTGCCAGTAGTTACTGATATTGGAGATAAGTTTCTCTCATCACCGATCTTTTCTTCTAACATCGCAATTTATATAAATTGCATCACTGGATTATTGGTGAGAGTATCACTGGATTGAAAGGAAGAGGTTCCTTTTAGGCCTTTTAAACAATAAATTATGTAATTTTCAGCTGTGTAGACAAATCTCTATTTACTGACAGAAAAGGTGTAGAGACAAGGGGTGCTTCTTTTGTGAGAGGACTAAAGATCATATTTACAATGGCAAGAGATCTCTGTTATAAGCCTATCACCTAAACCTATGAATTCTCTTCCTTAGAGTGCACTGGGTGTTTACCACCCAGCTAATAAAAAGGTGTTGACACCTTTGATTAGATATTGAGCACAATAACATAGACAGTCAAATAGCATGAAATAATAGAAATGAGATTAATAGCTAAACTACATAAATTATCAATACTGAAAAACAGACCAAATCAAACAAAGTAGACATGTTTCAGATTTACAGAATGGCCAAGCCCTTTGGCTGCCCCCTACATCAGCAGTTTACGTAGGTGGAGGGTCCAGCTCATACAAGTAGAAGTAATTCTTCTAATGGAGTCCCAGTCAAACTCCACCTGACAGCCCTCTTATTTTGTAGATAACTGTTTATACATACAAATAGTTTATCTTTCACTTTGCAAAATCACCTAGAAGCATAAGCATATTGACTACAGGCTGTAATATTCTGAAAGTGTTTTTCAACTATGGCTATTAAATATGTTTTCTCAGTATTATCCAGCACTCCCAGCAATGTATGTTTTCCAGCTGCTGATGCCTCAGACACACGCAGAGTGATCTGGAAATTTCAATCCCTATTTTTCTATAATTCAAATTAACATTATGAGCTAAAGCTGAATTTTCTCCTGGGGTTATAAGTCTTTTGCGTGTATTAAATATCTATTTTCCTTTCTAGCTGCTTGGTTTTGCTCCCTTGTGAACCTAAAATAGATATGACCCATAACAGTGTGCTAAACAAACCAAGTGTTGCATTGATTTTCTAGGGATTCAAAGATATTTCCTTGGAGAGGTTTATGCACGGAGGAGCCAATGTGACAGGATTTCAGTTAGTAGATTTCAGTACCCCAATGGTAACAAAACTGATGCAGCGCTGGAAGAAGCTGGACCAGAGAGAATATCCAGGATCTGAGACTCCTCCAAAGGTACTTTTATTTTTTTGCTCACTACGAGCAATTTCACTCAAACATTGTAATAACTGAAGGTATACTTTATCATGCTGAGCTACAGCAGAAGATATGTGACTATGCAATTATTGGTAACTAATTATACCCAGCATTACAATTATCTTATAGAAAGATGAGTTGCAACAAATTTCCCATTTTCTGTCACTTATTTTCCAATTAACCTGTTTAATGACAAGAATTAGAAGTCCAACTTTAGTGGAAATTGACAAACTAATTCCAACCAATCTTCAGTATGTCAACCCAATTATATCTACATTGAATACACAGGTTTCCAGCCAGCAGGCATTCTTCTGTATCTGAGATAATATAATGATAATAGTAATCATATCATTTCTAAGTTGTTAACTTTCTGAAAACTATGCACATAAATCCTGATGTAATGCTTACTATTAAACATGATCTTAAAATGCAAATATGTTCCATTATTTTTCTATATTGCTTCCCATATAGATAACAAAATTAGACAATTTGTGATTTTCTTGGCAGGTCAAACATGATACACCTGTAAAGATGATTGTATAAGAGCTTCTCTTTTATTATGAGTATTGTGAATCTACCTAACTGCTATAATTGAGACTGGGGTTGTGCTGGGCACCATTCAAGGACATAGTCAAATCCTGTCCTAAAGAGTTTACAACCTATATAAACAAAACAAACCTTATAACTGGTCATATAGAAGTGAATGGACATACCAGAGTCACAGAGCAGATCAGCTGTAGGTCAAAGATTAGAACCTCTGTTTCCTCAGTCTGTATTTGGTGCTTACCCACTAGACCAGTGGTCTCCAAAGTGGGGTGTGCGCACCTCAGGGGGTGCGCAAGACGATGCACTGGGGTGCGGGAAGAAAATATTAGAACTTATATTTATATTTATAAAAACATACATATATTGGGGTGCATGCTCAAATTTTTTACTGATGGGGTGCGCAAATATAAATATACATATATTGGGGGTGCACGCTCAAAAATTTTTTACTGATAGGGGTGCATGATCAAAAAAGTTTGGAGACCACTGCACTAGACCGCACTGTATCTAGTTTAGAGCTTATGTGACCTCACTTACCATGTCTTCAAGCTAGTAGCTGGTAACATTTATTCTACACATTCTGTTGTACATATTCTTTGCCTAGTTTACAGACTTTCCTGACCTGACCTTCTGTGACTTCCAAGCTTCATCATTTTAGTTTTTCTATACCCCATTGTATGAGGGCAACAGAATAGAAATGTTGCAAACAAAAAGAAGAATGCTATCCCTAGTTATTTTGCAATATAAGTAACCTGGTTCTGCCACTCATTGCCAATACATTTATTCATGGTCTTAAGCTTGCTCAGTGAACTACAGAATAAAAATGGTTGGGAAGCATTACTCCAAGATACATCAGGTAAATGAAACAAAAGTTTGAGAAGGGGAGATCTGGAAATCTTCATTTTAATTTCATTGTGCCCTATGAATTCCCACAGAGATTTCTCTCCTCAAATAAAGTTTTAAAGCTGAACTATTATAATATAGTCTCAATACTGACAAACATGCAAATCATGAAGAACTCCCTTGAATAAAATTCGTATTGGATTTTTTAGTTCTGCCTCAGTGGGAACTGCAGGGATTGGGTGCATAATGGGCTAAAACAGAAATATATCAAGCTGATTTTCTACAGATTTGCTACACTGAAGTAATGCATTTGTCCCCTTTTAGTATACATCTGCACTGACCTATGATGGGGTCCTCGTGATGGCTGAAACCTTCCGTAATCTCAGAAGGCAGAAAATTGATATTTCACGGAGAGGGAATGCTGGAGATTGTCTAGCAAATCCTGCTGCCCCATGGGGTCAAGGAATCGATATGGAGAGAACTCTGAAACAGGTACGGCTGTGCTTAATTCTAGTGATCTTGGGGAATAATACATTCTACTTATCTACAAGTAGAAGAGAAAAGTGCATTTAGGTTGCATGGAGTGATACATTTATTTTCAATTAGCATCTAAACTACCTACTAATGGTTTTGTTGTTTCAGCTGGTTTTGTTTTAGTTTAGTGAAATATCTTTGATCTCAGTTTCTGAAAGAGCTTGTTTTCTGTGAAGCACAAAGCAAACCACAGGCCAAATCCCTCACAAAATATGTTGAAAATTACTGAAAGAAATAGAACGCCCTTCACTGAAGTGTTAAGCTCACCTGTTCCTCCATGAATTATAACCTGACATTAAAGGACAGATTCAAATTGGTCACCAAGATGCCATAACTTAGGTGGTTTAAAAAAGTAGGTGTTTGATGCAGGAAGCCAAGCTGAATAGAAAGAGTTAGATGTCTAAGAACTCTAAGTACAGTCAGTGGAGAGAGTTAGGGCCTCAACAAATTACATTTACATCAGTCTAAAAAGGAGCTAATACACAACATATAGCCTTACACTGGTGTGACACACTCAAATGCAGTATAGAACTGCCCAGAAAAATCAGGGGTAAAAATATACTGGCATAAATGGCATATAGCTGCAGTTTATTTGAAACTAATCATATGCTCAAGATGAGTAAGCTAGTGCCAGTTTCCCTGTCACTTAGGGTGTGTACAGACATTCAAAGTGCTCGAGGTGTAATTAATCTAAGTTATGTGATTTTCTGTAAGTGGTAGCCACTAGGAAATGTAGCTGAACTCCCATACTACTCCAGAGCTTGGATACTTACCTCTGACTGCACATTAGGATTTTCTATCCATTTAAGACCCAGAGCACCTTGTCCTTTGTTTGAGGGTAAGTACTTAACTCACTGGTGGTGGCAATGCCACTCATCTTTTGTATGATTCTCAGTGCTTTGAGCATACCCTCAGGAAGTGGGAGAATTGCATTTTAGACCACCCACAGCCTGAGGGGGCTCAAATCCACATCTCAGCAGAGTGCTTTAATCAGGAAGACCTACACTCTTGTCCTATGCAAAGGGTACTTCACCTGGAAAAGAGTGGCCTGGGTTCCCGTCTCTGTTCTTCCTGGTCTATGAATTTTACACTGGATAAAACACAGAGAAATAAGCCTAACAGCAGGCACAGCAAACTGCTCACCCTTCCCAGTGGGCTAGTCAAACTCCCTCTTGATTCCTTGTCCTCCAGCTCTCTGAATCATGCACTGTTAGCTGCCTGAACACCCAACTTCAGTAGAAAGTCTCCATCCAGACTAGCTTTTATCCTGATGGTTTGGGCATTCTGTTGAGAAGCAGGTGATGTGGTTTGGAAACCTCAGTTTGAGGAATGCATTGAGGGCAGTTCTCTTCAAGGACTCTAACCACTGGGTTACTGTGCAATAAGTTTCATATTATCTTTCTTGAATCAAAGTAACTCTAGGTACAGTACTTTGTGCTGAACTCAATTCAGTTCATGCAAGTATGCTCTGGGGACAACTAATGGATTGAAGATTTAGGCAGAATTTAGGCATCTTCCCAGCACCAATTTGGATTTTAATAAACTTAGATGTGACTTAGGTGCCTAGGGAATTTGTAGTAAAAAATGGAGATACTAAGTAAACGTATGTATCTAATGTATTTTGTTGCTGCTGCCTTGATTGTTCTGTGGAATGTAGGCATCCAGTTTCTGCCTACATCCTACTTAATCTCCTAAAAGACTAATCTGTATTTCTCCCTAAAGGTATTCATTTATAGAAAAAGTTCATTCCAGTAGTAAAAATCAAAGACTATATCATTAAATTACTGACAGAACTGTATTATTCACAAAACTGCCTACCAAATTTGTTTGGATCGTTTTGAATTCTTCTAGATTTTGTCAAATGCAACTCACATAGGTAATTTTCCCAGTAAAAAGAAATATCCCAGAGTCATTGTTCACTGATGTCAGGTCTTTGAATTCCTAATGAATATGGATGTCTAGAAAGTTCCATATCTCTGTCAAGATGATTTAGCCTTTTTCTTCAAGGCTGGATAGTAAAAAAACAAAATTCCTACAATAATATTTTAAATCATTCCAATTGCATATGAGCTGACTTGCCTCAGAAGCAGACACTGAGAAGAAAGTACTGACAGAACTGGAAGTTTTGTGCCTGGAAGCAAGCATTTCAGTCTTGAAGGAGAGCTGGATAAAACTGAAGTGGACAAATAAAAAAGAATATGATTTGAAATGCACACCCTGGCCCTTAGGGAAAATATATTCAATATTCAGTATACTCCAAACAGTCAGTGAAAGTATGCAGATGTATAGTCTTTTCTGAAGTCATGAAGTCAGGTTTGTACAGTGAAGATAATATCATGGGTAAAGTCGAATAATGCCTTCCAGTGAAGCACAAGAGAGATAAAGATCAAAATCTAAATCCTGGCCCAGGGCCAAACACACATTGCAATACAGTCCCTGCTCCACTGCACCTTCTATATCAGCCTGTATGATGAAATTTGCTTCCACAGCTTCAGAATGCTACATGGAGTCTAGGGCTAGAAGAAAACTGTAATGTCTTGGCCTCTCTCATGTCTCTTGCCCAACTCCATCCAGTATGGGCTCTAGGACAACTCCTCCCTTCCTCTACCATCTGTTATCTCACAAAGGACTGTCAGGTTTATGTATTAAGGCATAATTTGCTTAAACCCTTGAGTGCATTTCACCCTTCTGAGGATTATATTTTAGTGTGTACTTGCTTTTTCATCAAAACTAAGTTAGAGAACACCTTAAAGTTCAAGCAAAGCTTCCTTTTAATTTGTTGTTCTGTTTGGTCCAAAATATTTAGCCATAGAAAATGCGTAGTCCCAGGACACAAGAGGAAAGTGTTCAGTAATTTTCTTACTAATTCCTGTCTGCTTTGTAGTGATTAGGTATGAACAGTACATGAGGCTGATTGTTTTTTTATTTATTTATTTTAATTTTTAGGTTCGAATACAAGGGCTAACAGGAAATGTTCAGTTTGACCACTACGGTCGCAGAGTCAACTACACAATGGATGTGTTTGAGCTGAAGAACACAGGGCCTCGTAAGGTATGTGCTGACTGTATCTGAAAGGGTTAGTCTGTTCATATCCCACCATAGAGAAAAAAAATAATTAATGCATCAAAATAAGATCTTGAGCTCTACCTAGGAGTAAAGAGCTTGTGTGTTAAAACATGTCTGTTTTGTAGGCAGCAATTGCTCCTTGGAAGTCAGTGAAATTGAATAATGAACATAAGGGTGGGATTATTTTCAATCTTTGTTAAATAGACTTGTTTGGGTTTGTTTTTTTTTACTTTAAGTACATTTTACAGGAAATGCTACAGTAAAAGCTTTGTTATCTGGCATGAGTGGGGTAAGGGTGGTGCCAGTTATCTAAAAATTCCACTTATCTGAGAGTTTTACGGAAGACAGTGACATACTTGTAATGCAAATACTTGATGCGCATGCTGGATAGACTCGGTAAAAATTCCAGTTGCTAAAGTGAGGATTTGTATTTGGGGATATTGTAAATTCCTGTTAATAGGGTATTCCGGTTGGTAAAATGCAGGTTAACACAGCTTTTACAGTATTATTTTTCACTATAATAAAAGTGGAAAGTGAATAAAAATAAGTGTGTGTGTTGTGTGGGGTAGAAATTAAGATTGCTTAATCAGGTATGATTTAATAAAAAACAGCTTGATGCAGTGTTGTTAGGCTGCTTGGACAGTGGAGAATGGTCAGCACTCTAAGTAATAAATGCCTACTGCACCTCATCTGGAACCTGCTTCCCAGCAAATTATGAACATTTCATGCAGTTTCAGTTTTTCCTTCCTCATAACTGTAAATAAGAACTTGTATTCAATATCAGTATTTGGAAGGTTGCAGAAAAAGAAAAAAACAATACCTAGAAAGCATGTTTTCTGAAGGAAAATTAATTGTCCCCTCTAATCACATTTACTTTAAAATACTCCATCCCTTGCTGTCATCAATATTTTTTATAGTTTAAGTGGCCCACCACAGATAGAATCATAGAAAATTAGTATATTAGAATATTAAATATGAGTATACTATTGTGCCTGCTCATTTGATATGTAGGCAATGTATGCACACACCTGTAGGTATATACTTACAAATCTTCAGTATGTGAATACATATATCCACAGTGGACTTTTGCCAGTTGTGAGCACTTGCCCAAATGTTCCTGGATATTGGGGAAAGTGGCTTTCTAAGCCCCAACTCTATGCTGTACATAGTATATTTTCACAAAATTGTGATTACTAAGTTTTCTGCATAATTGGGGAAAAAGTGTCTTGCTATATTGGAGGCTAAGTACCTGTCCAAAATATGTGAACATAAGCAAAAAAAAACCAAACAAAAAAGAACAAAAAACAATGGCATGGTTCAGTGAAGTACTATTCTCCTAGGTCTGTGGTTATCCAAACCTGTCAAAAGTCAGAGTTATGGCTTGGAAATGAGCAGAACAGCATGGACTGCACAGCAAATGATGCTTCTCTGCAGCTGATGGCAGGTGGATATTATGGATTGTGTCCTCAGCTGGGGTAAATCACAGTAGCTCTGTTGAAATGAATAAGCCATGCTGACTTACAACAGGGGAGGATCTGGAAAAATGCCACATATATACATTCCATGGTAGGTATTAGACTGTGGGCCAGGGATCTGGTGACAATTTCAGATATGATTGTCAGGCTGTTCTCCCAGGCTGCTGCTCATCTACAAGAGGGCATGGCATTCACAACCAGTACAAGTGAGCCTTCCTGCACCTGCTGTTAGCTCAAGGCTTTTTGCCTTTGCCATAAGCACTAGAGAGAAAGCACTCCTCACTGTCTGAATGCAGGAGGGCTTGTCTTGCTTGTGGGAAGACAAAGGGTTCATGGAACTTTTAAAATTCCCTCTCCATTAGGGCATGAGGGGAAGTCAAAGAGGGCCTTACCTAAAGCAGAAACTGCCTGGAAGCAACACAGATAAGAAGTTCACCCATATGCATCAGGGAAGCCAGAGGGTATTTGTACCCTCTGAGGCCCATAACACACCGTTCAGCAGCCAAAGAGCAGCCACTAGAGAGAATTCTTATTCTCTAATAAAATGATTTGGGAACTGGTAAGGATACTAACTTAATCGCTATTGCTAGGGAGGACTTGGGGCAGATACAAACCTTTGTCTAAGCATATTTTAATTGGGTCCAGTATGTGGCTGTGAAGCAAGTCACCAAAATTATACAGCTTGACAATGAATGTCAGGGTGCTTGAATTCAAAGGCAGTTAAATTGAGCAGGAAGGATCAATAATTATTCAGCAGAAAATAGCATGGATTATCTGAGCATTGAGGCTAGCGGGACATATCTATCAGACCAGATACAATTTGGCTGATATTAGAGGAAGGAATTGTCCATCTATGAAGTTGGCCAATAGGGGAGGCAGCCAAAGTAAGTGCTAGTGCTCTCCATATGGGGTTGTCCAGTACAGACAATCATTCCACTTGGTGTCTAGTTCCTGTTTAATCCAGTGTTGGAAGTGGACTTTGAAGTCAGTGAAGACATCTTAAAGGAAGTTGTGAAATATGAGTCATGGCTGCTAATTTCTGCTAAAATAAAGAAAAAAACATTCTTTTCCCCAGCTTCTCATCCTGCTTAAACCTCATTCCCGGAGAGGGTGATAAGGTCTCAACAGTAATTGCAGCTTTCCCAAAATACGTGGAGACAATTAAGGAAAAAATAATGATCTACTCTATACAATGCAGTGTTCCTGGATGACTTAAACAAAGTTCTGGACTAGTTAACTCACATCACTTGCATCTTAGTCTTTCCTCCTTCAAGCCTAGGCCAATGTGGTATCCATAAAGTGACCACTCAAGTCGTGTACATGCCTTTTCTCCCTGTTGCCCAAAATGTGGGGAACAACTCAAAACAATTTAGGTGGAGTTAGGCCTGACAGTCAGTTTGGATACGTTCATCATCAGGAGAAAGAGACCTTCATGACTAGGGACAGACATTCCAAAAGCCTGAATTGATTCAAATTTTGCAAGTTAGTCTAACCTGGCTAGGCTAAATCACTTCTGTAATTGGACAGACATCCCAGAAATGCAGGTACATGCCTACAGTGGCTCAAGCTAGAAGCTGGGGGTGCTAGAGCTGCCCTCCCTTCCTTCCACAGGGCTGAGCTGAGGGGGTGTGGCCAAGCCTCAGCAGGACGCTCTGATTATTCCCTCCCACTCTTAAGCAGTCCGTCAGGGAATGTTTATCACCCCACACTCAGTGTTTATCAACCCATTAAGAAAACAAAGCCTCTCTCCTTCAACTAATGGAGCTCTTCTTAAACAACTTTTCCAAGGAAAGACATTAAGCCACCTGTTGATTATCACCAAAAAGCCTGTCTGCCTATTGTATCCCACAAC